ACACAATGTTATTATATCCACTGAATCCACGAAGAATACACAGAATTTCTTTTGTTTTTAAAGGTTACAGAAAAGCAATACCTATCTGTGCAGCAATTTTGTCACAGCACCGCAACTTTGACTTTGATAACTAAGTTTCAGATCTTAAAAATTCAATATTACTACAGTATTACAGCCAACAAGAAGACAAATATAACCACACCTGTCGTGGACAACTTTGTAGCTGCTGCTTCACAGGGCTTTTAAAAGTAGGTGTCTGTCCTCCACTGTGTTCATGTGCACACAAGAAACCAGATTAAAGTAGGAAGGCTATATAAAGTCTCTGTAGTGAGACAGCATGACACTGTAGAATAGGGGTGTAAGAAAATATCGATCCACTTGAGTATTACAATATTTTGTTTTATGATATTGTATCGATTCTCTAAAACATTCCATTGATTGTGCTCCCTGTAACAGATAGCAGTTTTACAGGGACTGTGATAAATACAGATGCAGGTCCCACTGTAAACCTTTTTTTATGCAGCAGTAAAAGAAGTTAACTTTTGTATGCATACGGTGGTATTCTTTATACTATTACAGTTTTCCTAAAATTACACAGTAAGTAAGGTTACAGCTTTGGTTTAAGCCACAGCAAATTATCAACAATAACTTTATTAGTTGATTAATTATTCATTTCTGAAGCAAAAATGACAAACATTCCTTACTTCCAGCTTCTCAGATGTGATTGGCTGTTTTTTTGGTAATATATCATCAAATATTTTTGGATTTTGCAGTGTTGGTCAGACAAAACAAGCAATTTGAGGACATGTTTGAGCATTTTTCACATTGATTCATCGAGAAAGTAATTCTCAGATTAATGATGATGGAAGTAAATGTTAGTTGCAGGTAATGTTAGGTACAAGTAATGGTGTGTCCTTTTATTCCTCTGCACAGCTGCTACAGCAATACCTTCCCCATCTAAAGTCATGCACTTGTAATTGTCAGGTTTCTCTAACTTTATTCTAGCTGTGTTAACTAGTATTCTTTTTAATCCCATTCTGCAATTAGGTCATTCATTTATATGACATTTAAACTACTAGGTTACTGTAGCTAGAGAAGCCGGCAGGAATGTACTGGATTCCTGCTGAAGATGTTATTGACATTCTGTCACTGATTGACAGCTCTGTAGATCCCAATCTTTTTTTTATTTTTACGATCCGTCCATCTACATTTAATTTCAAGTATTACTCTCCAGAGGGAATTAAAGGTACTTTCAGATTGCAGGACACATTTAGTGAATTAACGTTCATAAAATGTATACAACCTCTTCAAATCATATTCCCTCCAGCGTAAGCTTTTCACATAAACTCTTTAAATATAGTTGACTCGAGGTGTACTGTGTGATTCAGGCCTCTTACAGCTCCAAACCATAAGCTCTGTGTGGTGTATTATTAAACATCACCTTACCTTTCTTGCAGCACTTTGAACACATTTCTGAGACACACAGTGTGTGAACTCTCTTCCTTCCTATTTTATCATTCATTCACCAGAGATTGCCGCTTACTGATGCCAGCCCTCATGTAGGCTAATCAGTACGGAGAATGAACGGGTTTTCCTTCTTGTTAGAAGTTTTCCTGTATTAGAGACGTGCCCAGACAGCGGATAAGTCGTATAAAGGATGCTTTGATACCCTCCGACATGTAATTGCCTTATAAATGGACCTCTGCAGGAGGTGTTTTTACGCTCCACCGGCTGCAGGCTGTTTAAATCTGCACAGAGACAAACAAACCCGTTTCCTGTTTTTAACAGAGCCACCATGGACGACAATTAAGCTCAAGCCTCTTGACTTAAGTTAATGAGCATGCTGAGAGAAAAAACAATGCTTCTCAATAACCTGATTGACTGCAGCAAGAACAGAAGCAGATGCAGTGTCCATGATGTATATGTGCATGTTTAGATCTGTTACTGTGCTCTGCTCTGGTCAGCAAATGTCTATTCAGAAACACGACAGCTCAATGCTCTTCCTCCTTTTGGTTTTCTGCACAGGTGATGCAAAATCAGAAGACACGGCCAATAAGGAGGCAGGAGAGGAGAAACCAGAAGAGGACAACGACTATCACCGTAGCGACGAGCAGGTAATCCCTCACTTACACACGGACAGCAATTTATGCTTCTGATTTCTTCTCAGGGACTCTTAAAAGACCAGCTTCTCATTTAGTCAGTTAAAGGTTTGATTTGTCAAACATAGAAGGAATAATCACTTCCCCCTGATGACCATGAAGATAGTTTTGATTTTGTCTGTCCAGGTTTTGAGTAATCTGCGCCTTTTCCAGTACAATGTGGGTAAATTAAATTCTGTTCCATTATATATATAAAGAATTGAACAGCAAAGTTTCCATTCTTTCGTCCAGTTTTCCAAGTCCCTGTTACCCTGAATAATCCTCAGACTGTCAATAGTTTTTAAACTCAAACTACTTTCTACCCCAAAAAAGGTCCCTATGAACCCTAAATTGTTTTCAAACCAACATCAGCACTTCAATGTATTGGTAATCAGAGTAACAGGGACATTGTTTCTGGAAATAGAATTGTTGAGATGTAAATGTTTAATGCTGTGAGCACCTCAAACATAATCTCATCCTTAATGTTAGCAGTATGGAGGCAGACATATCAGTCAGATATCTAAGAACATGGATAAATAAAATCAAAACTATCTGCATGGATAGATGCCACTAGAGGTAAGTAAGAACCTGTTTTTATGTCATTTTGTTAAACAAGCTCTTTTTTAAATCATATAATATACAAGGAAATTTGGGAAGCACTACACATTGGTTTGTCTTTTAGCAGTGATTACAAGAAGCAAATTGGATAAAATAATTGTGGGTTACAAAGCAGTAACAAAAGCACAAAGGGAAACAAAATGCTGTTGCCGATAATTGTGGGTACAATTGCCTTAAAAGCCTGCACATCAATTATTGCCTTTACAAAAGTGGCCCCCATGTGATTTACCAGACTGTTTTACAATTACTGAATTCTTTTGTCTTTGGTTTTTCGGCTGTTTGATTTGTGTAGATCCACAGACACCACAGAGCCACACCATTGCCATCCACTGAACGCATTTAAAATGGAAATGGGCTTCTCTTGATTTCATTTATATTCTGGCACATTCTCAAGCTCTGCAAAATGACATTAATAATGCAGAGAGAGCACAGTTATTGTTGTGCTGGACAGAGGGTATCAGAAACACAAAGCGTCTCCCCCGCAATGTTGCACGGGCTGAGGAAAATTGGTTTTATACTATTTTAGTCATCGTTTTTAAGAGCACAAAAACCCAACAGGCAGATTTTAAAAAAAGCAAACGGTTGTCTCCAATCAGGCAGCTCTTCACTGCCATGTGGGGAAAACAGGCTGCCCCGATGAGGGTGAAGTTCTTGCCCTTTGGATATTCGGCAGCGGTGCAGAATGCGTTCAGAATAGCTAATACGGCAGTCTGTGTGAGCTGAATGCAGGCGTGTGAAATGTCACAGAGAGCGAGCAGAGAGAGCAGAGGAATGACTGATGAAAATGAGAGATTTGTAGGATCGAGAGAGAAAAAGATTGGCTGATGAAAACAAGTCTTTATGCAGGGTGAAAATTATAGAACATAATTCCTGTTGGAGAGGGTGGGGGGTTGTGAGAGTTATGAGTAAGAGGTGAGTCTTGTCAGAATGTAAAGGCAGTGGCTGAAATGAGAGGATGATAGAGAGAAAACTGAGGGAATAAGATGTTAGAGATATGTGCAAAGTAAGGGATCTTTGAGCTCTAAGGGGAGACCAGAAAACCCCCCATAGTTTTCTAATTTATTACTTTGAAAACACTGACAGAAATTGCAGGGCATAGAATTGCCGCTGTGACATAAAAAGGGAGTGCTACTGTGATAACCTCACTGAGTTGTAAAATCCTGTCGTTAACCTTTCATTCTGTGCAAGAATAAGAAGTTTGTGTAAATGGTACCGGCTCACAGGACCTCGTCTATAGACCTTCTCCAGGGAACCTTCTACATTTCTTTCTGTGTGCAGACTACGTAAAGATTATCAATAGATTTTGTGAGTGCAGAGGTCTCACATTTTACTGTTTCCACTCTAAACAGCTTATCTTCAGAACAAAGTAGTTGTTTGGAAGAATTGAGTACTATCGGGTAACAAGAAGGGTCGCCTGATTAAAAACAATACATTTAGATGTACTTGCTCACTCCTGATAGGTTTCTTGAAGGACCACTTTTGTGTTTGCTTGTACTAACTTAGAGTGAGTTGTAAAAGAGTCAAGAGACATTTGAGGACAGATAACTTCATGCTGTAAAGGTCCTTAAAAGCCCCTTTCATTTTTCAGAAATGCAGCAACCAGCCCAGATTGTAGAAAGCAGAGGGTGTCACAATGAAAGATGAACTGCATTAGAAAACCAGAGTTGTGAAGAGAGAACATTAGAAAATGCAAAACAAGATGCCTCATCTCAAGGGGTTTATAGTCTTATGTGATCAATTTGAACCAAAGCAAAGAGAAAGAGGTCCGGAGGATTGATAGCAGCAGTTGCCATCAAGAAGAATGAAGATGAGGGGCGAAAGAGTCCCAGAAAGCTGCCCGCCCCCCATCACGATGTCACTGGAGATGTAGAAGCCACTAGGATGTAGGAACCGGCA